ACCAACGCTACACCGTTATAACTTACATTTCATAGAGGTGATGTATAATTAAGAAAACAGTTGTACCAAGGTTACACCGTTATAACTTACATTTCTTGATGGTGATGTATAATTAAGAAAACAGCTGTACCAAGGTTACACCGTTATAACTTACATTTCATGAAGGTGATGTATAATTAAAAAACTAAGGAGCGCAGTAAACACAAATAACAACAGTTGTACCAAGGCTACACCGTTATAACTTACACTTTCATAGAGGTGATGTATAATTAAGAAAACAGTTGTACCAAGGTTACACCGTTATAACTTACATTTCATGAAGGTGATGTATAATTAAAAAAAAGAACAGTTGTACCAAGGCTACACCGTTATAACTTACATTTCCTGACAGTTCTAGCTATCTGTCGTATACTATGAAACACAAATAACAACAGTTGTACTAAGGCTACACCGTTACAACTTACACTGCTTGACAGTTCTAGCTATCTTTCGTATACTATGAAACACAAATAACAACAGTTGTACCAAGGCTGCACAGTTATAACTTACACTACTTGACAGTTCTAGCTGTCTGTCGTATACCATGAAACACAAATAACAGTTGTACCAAGGCTACACAGTTATAACTTACACTACTTGACAGTTCTAGCTGTCTCTCGTATACAATGAAACCCAAATAATAACAGTTGTACCAAGGTTACACAGTTATAACTTACACTGCTTGACAGTTCTAGCTATCTGTCATATACTATGAAACACAAATAATAACAGTTGTACCAAGGCTACACAGTTATAACTTACACTGCTTGACAGTTCTAGCTATCTGTCATATACTATGAAACACAAATAATAACAGTTGTACCAAGGCTACACAGTTATAACTTACACTGCTTGACAGTTCTAGCTATCTGTCGTATACTATGAAACACAAATAACAAAAATGCAATACTCAAACCATGAAACTGTTGAACCATCTTCGAAGAATATAGGCCAAGGTAATGTTAGATACGCTTAACGCTAACTACATGTGACACTAGAATCACATGTTGAATATATAAATTTGCACTAGACAGTTAAAGAGAGAAACATTATATAAGGAGCGTTCAATTATGCTGGCTTACTTTGAGCATTATAATTAAATAACGTTTTGCTGGCGATTTACCGCTGACCCACCGGGAGACCAGTGATAAGTAACCTTGTACAGCGTATTGTGAGTCTTTTATATTGATTTAATCTTTAGGCTATAGGTTCACTTTAACAACAGAGCGGAAAGACCTGGGTCCATTACAGCAAATCTACAGCACAACAGCCCCATCTAGTGGTCTGATTATATTATACATTATCATGATGTGATGGGCTTATTTAAATATTTTCCTTTTGTCACGACCAAAACTACTGCTTATTAAACATACCTTAAGTTTCATTTCTGCCGTAATGTAAATATAATAACTATACTGAAACATGCTAGAAGATGGCGCTCAGTGAATAGCTTGAATATGGTTGAATATACTGTCTTTTGAAGTACTGACGTGTTTGTACAGTTTTCATTTAAACTTTATATTAAAATTAGAATTGTAGTTAATTTAATATCACATTTTTCTACAATCAGGACTGAGGGAAGTGGATTCACCATATAGGAATATGAGATGAATATGATTGGAAAGCAGTGGACATAAATGAACAAGCAGCTAGCCGACGATGCAAGACGAAGAGTTGTTGTTGGAAAACATTACATACCTTTCAACCGTAATAACAACAAACTAGGCTAGTATCTTTTTACAATGGAAATTAATCAGAATTAATATCCAACGTATGTCTTGGTTTTCGAAGATATAAAGACAGTTTGAATATCTTTCTGATTCACATGATTTTGTTGTTCTAGTGAAAGGTTGTCGACCACAGCTATACAGATATTTTACGAGCTATTCTGCCTAATAGAATATTCTGTGTTCTAAAGTAAAAATACTTATCAAAATTTGGTAAAACGATTTGCTCCTCCATCCCTCATTCCTATACCCATGAGTTTGTAACGTCGTTTTATAACTACAGTTATTTCCAATCTGTGGATAAGTGATTTGAATAAGCAGTTTTACTGGATAACGTTTGAAAGTTTGATTGTCTTCTCCACGTGAAGTATATTTATAATGATTCTGCAGCACATAAAACCACTACAAAGGATTATTCTGCCAGTTTTAAATTTTAATTCGCTTTCTTAACAACTAGAAGTTCTCGCCTCTTCACTTACTTTTCAAATTGAAAACATACCGTTTATCAGTTGTTCTAATTTTAATATTGATAAAAGCATAGAACGGAAGTTTTGCACAATACGATTGTGAATTTTTCTTCAAAGAATCTTATTATTTACTCCCACAAATATTGACCATTAGGCGTGTAGTGAAAACGAGAGTGGTAAAGGGCTGAAAACAAGAAATCTACGTGCACGATAATCATTTAACAAAGAAAATCGATAATAATAAACTTCAACTTAACCTAACTTGTTGCGAATACGAAACAAGTGGTAGAAGAAAGTACACAATCGATGAAACTAAATAGGTTTTCTACACTACTATTAGCAAAGCCCAACTTCAAATACCGTTGAAGTGTAAATATTTTAAAACCTAATAACTTGTGATAAACCAATGTCTGTGGATCCGTGACGTCAAGATTTTAAAATCGGCTGTAATGAACGATTGCCTTAGTTGTCAGTTTGTTTTAGAAGTTTCGCGTAAAGCTAAACGAGGGCTATCTGCCAATAATTCTGAACTCGTAGGCAAGAGGAAAATCAACTACTGAACATCAACCACCAATAACTCTTGGGCTATTCTTATCTGAAGGAACAGTAGGATTTAACTATCGCCCCTATAGCGCATCCAAAGCCCCAAAGTACGGAGTGCGTTTTAGAGGCAAGGGGATGCGAACCCCGAGTCCTCGAATTCGCAGTCCGGGCATGCTAACACACGTTTAAGCACCATTTTTGTTTATGTAACTTCACATATATATCTTACAATACCATTTTTTCTAAAAAAAAGTAAATTTTATAAAATCAGTGCCCAAGTAGTTGACTGCAGATTTTTGAAAGAAATGTATTTAAACTTGAAATGATTTATCTACTTCTGCTGGAATGTTGTTTATAGAATATGTCTGCCAAGCAAAATATCTTTCTAAACTTTGAGTTTGCAACTGTCTCAGTGTGTGTGTGTAGGTTATGTCAAAGCTGGCGAGCAGCTAGACACAGATTAATGAAAAGTAATAAACGTAATCACAGTTTCATCAGTAAAATGCTGGAAGAATCAAGAAAAATTTAAAGAACAGCACCATCTACAGTTTAATAATTCGATATATATATACAAACACACACGTATAATTTTCTTTATTTCTGTAGGTAATGGAAATCAGAAGTAACGGAGGGATTACACGAAAAGAACACATTTCAAAATTATCTAACAGAATACTTTAACAAATAAACGTATATTAACGGCACCAGGTTTTCATGAGTCAACTGGAAAAAGTAAAGAAGAAATATGGGAATTCCACTAGGATTTACTCAGTTGCAGTTAGAACTAAACAATTCCCTCCTTGAAATCCCGCACAACCAACAATCTGGTCGGTTTTAGGCTAAATACTATACGTGTAAAAAATTAAATTTTTTTTAACTCTCAATGTTTCTATACCATTCTACCAGTGAGGTCTATATATGTATTGTATGATAATTGTTAGTTACAACATTCAATGTAAAGAACTGACTGTTGGGTTGGTGAAATCACTAATTTCCTATGTAAAACACACAGGAAAGCCCAACAGCAAAGAGGGAAATTAACTGCAATTATATTTGCATTTAAAAACCCCGTCGATAATTCTAGGATTAATATGAATTCAGACAAAAGAAACCTTCAAAATAACCTTATGTACGTTAAAGCTTAATTCAGCTTTATCTAAACTAATCTATAGTTATTGTGTGTGTGTGTGTGAAGAGTTTCAACATCAACTGAAGCAGCTTATTATGGTAAGAATACACGTGTTTAATGAAAGGTGTTATTTGGGTCATCTCATTCTGTTATTATTATTTCTGTGTGAAGCAATTTTGTCTTTAATGTCTTATTACATCTGTTTATTGTGTAAAACTGTCACTTGTGCCTTTTCACTCCCTTATTATGATTTGTGTTTGTGTTTAAAATTGTCACCTGCGCCTTTTCACTCACTTATTATTTCTATGTTAGGTTTCACCCTGTTAATCCTATCTTGCCCTATGTAGGTGTAACCCTGTTAACCTGTCTTCTCATTCCTTTATTAAGTTTATTTTAGTGTGAAAAGTTTACACTAGTGTACTTTAACCTTCTTATTGCATCTGTATTAGGTCTAACTTCACATGTCAGCCGTGTCTTCTCTCTCTCTCTCTTACGTCCTTGTTAGTATGTAACTTATATCATGGCTGTTTTTGGTGTGTGCAAATTATGCACCAAACAATAAGATGTGGCAGAAACTGATATCCAAACAGCAACTCACAAGAATGGAAGAAGGAGCTAAATATTCCATTACCTTGTAAAATTTGATGTAGTTAAAACATTTCTTGGGGATTCTGGGTATTATTAAGATACACTTTGCAAGATCTTGATTCGAGATTCTATTACTAAACTCTACATAATAAACATTTAAGGAACTTAGTAAGTCTCAATCGTTGCACATATAATTTGAAACTTGAATGCTGGACACATTCTGGTGGCTTTCCAAACGATTATATATGTACAGCCACATACAAATAAAACACAACATAACCCACAGATACAACGATATTGTATATGGGTATTTATGATGTTAAATGTATTGTCTAACATATTTGTTGAAGATCTTGTGCCTTGTGCATGACATTTATGTTTGTAGGCAATCTACAGTTAAACATGAAAAAACGTATTATATGTTAACGTCAGTATGAGGAAATATTAAAAAAGAAGGTTGCACATTTATTTATATTTATAATAAAACAATGAAACTGGTATGCTTACCTTGCAACCTTCGCAGGTAAAAGCACCAAAGTGGTAACCTGCAGCTGGCTCATTACATACTTTACACAACTGATTCATCTGTTAAAAAAAGAAAAGAGAAATTGATTAATATAGTTACAGAACATGCATAAGTACGTTAACAAATAGAAGGATAAACACATGCATTTCACCTTGAGAACTTCAGTCAATGCAGAACTGGAAATATCACTCGTTCTCTGCATACTAAATAAAACAAACATTTAAAGTCAAAGAGATGAGCTTTGTGATTTTATTCAACTACTCACGTATAAATTTGAATATTATTCCTTATATTATTTAGAGATCCCGGGACATATTTGAAAATAGAGGCCAGTGCAGACATAGTCATTATTGCACTTGGAATTCGTATAAACGTGTTTGAAAGATACAAGTAAAATTAATGACAAAATTTAATTTCAGCAACCACTTTGCTTTAATAGTCCTTTTTTTCAGTTGATACCTAGTCAATAAATATCTGCTGTTCGTCATTTTTAGATATTCTTTTGTAAATATAGTTAGATCAGGAAGACACAAGTAGGATCGCCAGAGATTCGTCCTTAGTCTTATAGATTTGGGAGAATATAATATAAGTTAGCATTTATAAAACTGTACATCATCCATTAATTCTATTGATTCTGACTAAACAAAAACAATTCACGTAAATAAGGAGATATTTACTAAACAATGAATAGCTGTTCAACTTAAAAGTTAGATAAAATTATCTCATAATCTCAGTATAAAGACTAATTTTGAGTTTCGCAGTACCATTTCAATTTTTTTTCTTAAAAATCAAATTAAAACTTAAACGTTTCTTATGATTTACTAGAAGCATGAAATTCAGAACTCTTTTGATAACCCTTAACTACATAGTCATCGTGTCGTACAAACAATGACATTTCTTGACAAAACAAAAGGGAGGGAAAGAAAACTTGGAAGATTTTTGTAAGTTTATGTGATAAACGAATGAAAATAACTCCTTCGTGTAAACAATTCATATCAACTGTCAGTGAGACTATTACTAATTTCAATAAAGTTGATTTACACCTGAAAATACAACCACTTTCAAAACCTAAGCTATAATTCTATATGCAAGTTAGTACCATTGTAGACCACTGGATTCGCGCTCGTATCAGTTCAGCTCGATCCTATCTTTATAGACGGCTACTGTTAGCGTGGGTCCCAGGTTAGAACCTTCAAACGTATGTATAAATACGTATAGTTCAGAGAAATGAACAAATCGATATCGCCAAGTCGTATGTCATGTCTACCAACAGAATTCGCACTGTTTATCTCCAAGTATGGCTGAAATCTTCAAAGAAACTTACTACTTAGTGAAACATAAGCTATTACTTCAACAAGTGAACAGGAGACAGTTAGACGTTGACTCTAACAGGTACATTAGGTTATTTAGTTCTGGATCGATGGCGCAAGTGATTTTCTCCGTTCCACCGGAAGTGGACCAAACGGAAAGCACGACTTTTTCCAACAGCCCGCGCCCCGTGGTGGCAAAAAGTAGACAACAATACAGTCGTCAGGTATGAGACGCGTGGAGGCGTCCGCAACGGTAAAAAGCTAGGGATCTCAAGGTCTAGTGACGCAAAACTGTACTTGCCCACAGACGAACAGACACTCTGATCACTTTCGCCGCTGATCTTGCAAGGTCTAGTTCCAAGACGGGCGAAATGTGCCGTCCTTCAGCCTCGCGCTGCCAGACAGACACCAACTGTGACGTTCGCCACTGAAACCTCAAATAAGAAAACTACAAGAATGAATGAAACTGAAGCGAAGGGCGTTTCCCAGTGAGACAGAGCGAACTTCTGAATGGCCCATGGTACTGCTGTATGTAGCCAGAACGTGGCTGCTGTTCTAGATTTGGTTGTTTTAGTTCGAGACGGTCTCAAAAACATTACCACTATGAAGAAAAGGATAAAAAAGAACTTGGTATAGCTTGAGTACAGGGTGTTACCTAGACTAGTTAACACAGAATTGTTAATTACCTTGTAATCTTGTCAACAGAAAGTTAGAAAACTATTAACTAGCGTAACCACCTGCTCTTACTACAGTGCGTTTGGATCACGTGTTCCAAAATGTTTCGTACTCGGTAATCTGTATCAAAGAATTTACCGTTGACCTAGGTGTTATTGTTATTCCAATACCCAACAAAATTAACCTAATTTTCGACAGTGAGTAATATTACGTTCTAAACGTATAGTGTTTCACAAGTTGTCGGCCTGAATGTGTCTTACTGGTTAGCCCATCGAACTTGGAATTTGAGGGTCTCTCGTTCGAGACGTGGTGCACTTTCACACTGGTCCGTTTAAACGGCTACACTTGAACGATAGGAGTTTCTGACTTGACCGTTTAGTCTATTATAGATCTAAGGTATCGTTTAGGTTAACAAACAGACACACGTTCTCACAAAGATGAATATATACTTTGTTATTCACGAGCTTACCTACAAGGAAATAAGGCAATAGGCATAAAAATAACTCGTTTTATTATCATGGAAGTCTTCTGTTAGAGTGTTTTCTCAGAAAAGATTGTTGTTGTTTTTTAGATTTGCTATTATGCTTCTTTGTTTATCTGTAAAATACACTCGGAGTAATAATCCAGACATTATTTTCACGCCAGCAAAGAAACATGAGTGTTGTGAATGCTGCATGGCTAATGTTCCAAACTTATCACTCAATAACGTAGGTTAGTTTTTCTTCACAATGTTACATGTCGTGACACTTTAGTTAGCCCATTTTAAAACAAAAACAACAGCTTTTTTTGAGGGGTATAAAATGTTTAGTATTGAAAAATATTGTGATATAATAAAAAAATCTAGTGAAGTATTTTTTTAGTCAACAATTAATTTGCATCCCGAGTTTCTGGTATGCTGACACAAAGACGTATACTAGCAACTCTTTTGTCAATAGGAGATAAAATAAAGTGAGAGATTAACCTAGTGGATTGACAACTATTAACTAAACGGTTACACCCAACTGGTACAACGCCTACAAGTATATCAGAGGTGGAGGAAGCAATTTTGAATTGGTCAAGCAACTAAGAATAGGGTACAAGGCAAGCTAGGGGGAGGGGGTCTGAGTTTTAAAAATAGGTGCTCTGAGATTGAATTTTATGCTAATTTTACTATAATTTATTGAAAGTATTAATAATTTATAAACACTTCTTTATGATTCACAAAAATAGGTGCTCACTGGCACTTATACCCACCATATTTATAAGCAAGCACAAGCATGTACTCTTACAGATTACACATGCAATGTGTTATGCATTGTTATGCTGATTCATACATGCTGCTATATTCCTGTCAGTCTGTCTATTTACCTAGAAACAATTTTGAAATATAAGCTAAAGTTTAAAAGGCCCTACAATTACTGTGACAAAATGTTGGTCCGGCTGCTGGACCTACTCCGGCGCACATTTAGATACTTTAAAAATGTGTAGACAACAATCAATAAATCACATAAAAACTTTCACTAATCTATGTTATCTTTATTTAGTGTTTTTTGTCACTTCAATTAATTTTTTTACCTAGAACGTGAAATGCTGGGCGTGCAAGACGCAGAAAGAGAAAAATACAATACCTACTAGCCAAGAATGTATTAGAACGGCAGCGTGATAAGCAGAAACTAAAAAAAACAAGTTTCAAGAGTACTAAGAATGAGTAACAGAAAAAAATTGATTAAAGAAAACAAATATGGAAATAGGAGCTATAAGATAATTTTGGGAAGGAAGAGAATTGAAGAAAGTGTTTTTTTTTTTCTGTTAAGTATAACTATGACAAAAATGTCTGTTAACGAAGATAAATCATATCAGTTGATAATAAGTATAACTATAATTAATAAACGTGTAAAACGATACGGTAATAATAACGAAAATTACATCCACGTGCGTTGGGGACAAGCAGTCTAACTGATATCCCTGTGTATGTGACTAAACATTTGTGGAAAGTTAACAAAAGGAAAACGCAACAGAACCAGTGTCACACTGGATAGTTAGGTTTTTCCAAGAATAAACTAAACACAGTGGGTAGTTAAGTTTTTCTAAGGATAAACTAAACACAGGACCAGTGTCACACTGGATAGTTAGGTTTTTCTAAAAATAAACTAAACACAGGACCAGTGTCACAGTTGGTAGTTAGGTTTTTCTAAGAATAAACTAAACACAGGACCAGTGTCACAGTTGGTAGTAGGTTTTTCTAAGAATAAACTAAACACAGGACCAGTGTCACAGTTGGTAGTTAAGTTTTTCTAAGAATAAACTAAACACAGGACCAGTGTCACAGTTGGTAGTTAAGTTTTTCTAAGAATAAACTAAACATAGGACCAGTGTCACAGTTGGTAGTTAGGTTTTTCTAAGAATAAACTAAACACAGGACCAGTGTCACAGTTGGTAGTTAGGTTTTTCTAAGAATAAACTAAACTAGTACTGAAGTTCATATATTGAATTAAAATGTGTTTTGCGTTTACAATTGAAATAGTTAAACAAATTTCATTAACATAAGAGAAGTTGAACTTAACCAGCTTGTTAAAACTTGTATCCAGCGTATTGAATCTATTTGTCTATTATGCACGTGTGTGAAAGGATCAATAGACATATTACATAGTAAATGACAATTTCTGATCATTCAATTTTGGTGGCTGGCTAGCCTAAAGAGTGTGTGTGTGTGTATTTTGTTACAGCAAAGCCATATCGGGCTATTTGCTAACTATAACTATAACTAAAGTTTGAATAATAACTATAACTAACTAAAACTAAAGGTACAAATCCTTAACTATAAACATAAATATAACTAACATTTAACTAATAACTATAAGTACTAAACTAAACTTACAAATACTTAACTATACATATAAATATAACTAAAATTTAACTAATAACTATAAGTAACTAAAACTAAACGTACAAATCCTTAACTATAAGTATAACTATAACTAAAAAACGGGAAGAACAGTTGTAACGAAATTGATGAAATCGTCATAAATAAATGGCAAGAACTGTAAAAGAGAAGAAAGAAAATAGAAAAAGGAAGTAATATGGGAAATGTAAGA